CTGGGAATGCTACTGCACAATAGCAGCTACTTTTGAGAGTAATTTGGAAGCAGCTGCGATTTTAATGTGCCTTTCTGATCTTCAGGGAAGGACTTGTTGCTATTTTGCTAAAGTGGGAGAGAGAACTTTGTATAAAGCAGTCTTTGGGAAAGTTTGGTGGCCACTCTTGACAAGTCTCCCCCTTCTGTATGATGCATCAGCTTATTAGCCTTTAATGCCTTTTGCAAAAGTGAAAAATGCAAATATAAAAAATTATTGAATATCAAGTGTGGCAGTAAAAGAATTAAAGATGATAGTTAGGGAGGGGAAAATCCCTGTGATATCCCCCTCTCCCTTGGTGCCCTAAACACATCCTTATTTTGCTGAATGGTTAATCCAGACCTGAAACAAGGCTGCAAATGCAAAACAGGAGTTCTCTGCTCTTCAGAGATTACATAGGGAAGTTGGCACACTCTTCTACTTGGGAATCAAAGTTTTCTGAGCTTTCTATGAAATAAATTTAATAGTTTCTAAGGTTTCAAGCCTGCAAACTCAAGGGTTACCTTTGCCCTGATTTAGACAAGATAAAGGGAAAGCTCTAGAGGTGGGTTCCTACCGGTTCAAATCGGTTCGCCCCTGTTTGGCTGAGTAGGTAGTAACTCAGCTGGACAGGCATCCGAACCAGTTTTATCGGCGGTGCCGTAGGCGCTGCCATTTTGTTTTTTTGTTTCTGCACATGCACAGATGCAATTTTTTACTTCTGCATATGTGCGCGTAGCGTGAAGCGCATCCTTGAGTGAACTAGCAGTAGAAGAAGCTGTAACCCACTCCTGGAAAGCTCATATAGTATAGTCTTTTGATTTATAAAACTTTCATCTAGCTCATGGGTGTCAAACTCATGACATCACATTGCCATCATGTATCATTTCGTGACATTTCCCCCATTTGTGGAGCTGGAGTGGGCGTGGCCTGTGTCCGATGCCTCCAAATCACGGGCCACCAGTTTGACACCCCTGATCTAGCCCATAATGTTCACTGGTGCTTCTAGACCAGCTCCCAGGTCTCTAACAAAGATGTAGTAGTTCTTTTTATCTGCAAAGCATCTTTGTAACTATTGAGCGTTAACCCATAACCCAGAGTACAGAAATACAAATAATGGGGAATCGTATTAAGTCAACACCAGTTAAATTTCATTCTGACTTATTATAATGTGTGAGCATAGTCAGGCCTAATCAATTTTTGTCATTTGTACCACACACAAAAGTAGATGTTCCGTTGCCACATTTTTTTCAACTATTCTAACAATAACAAACACAGATAAACATAGGACCATTTGGGGCGGATTGATGTCACTTCCAGACCTTGATGTAACCTTACCTATTCCAGTGCCACCTTTCATCGCCCTCATCAGTTCATTGGCTCTCTCCTGGCAGTGGAGTGATTCTAACAAGTACAACACATAGTCATCAAACATCAGGTGAATAAGGTGAAAAGATCCTGGTGACAAAATAATGTGAGGAAAAAAGTGAATGCCATTTGCATGAAACTCATTGGCATTTACAGTCCTGCTATTACTCACTTAATTGTGAGCCCCAGGGGAAAGAAAAAAGCTATGGTACCCAAGGGAGGCAGTGGGATGAACAGCTCTGTTTGCAGGCAATATGAGAGGTGCTACCAAAGACCCAAAGAGGCTGTACATGGGTGTGAAGTTGCACTGCTCCTGCCCTCCTGCCAATCAGTTGTTTATAGACAAAAATGCTGTTCCTTTGAGTCAGTTTTGACTTCTGGCAGCTGTTCTATGCATGGTTGTCTCACCTTCCATCCTTCCAAGGTGGGTAAAATGAGGACCCAGATAGTTGGGGGCAATTTGCTGACTCTGTAAACCACTTAGAGAGGGGTGTAAAGCACTGTAAAGTGGTATATAAGTCTAAGTGCTATTGCTATTTCTTGGCAGCCTTTTTTGAAAGTGCTCAATATTTCAAGGGCTAAAAGAACTGACAGGGCCAAGTTGATCTATCTGGTTAGAGTAATACTAGAATCAAGAGTTGTTGATTCCTGGCCTCATGCTTTAATCACTACACCAAACTGGTGGTTAGCAATAAAAGGAAATGTTATAAAAAAGAACCATTGTGGTTGTCAAACATACTGGGCACACCAATGAATTAACTGCAAATCTAGGGCAATCAAGGAACTTGCTTCATAATAAATATGATAAGGTCAATCTGCTTTGTGTCATCTCACTTTGGTGCTTTTGGTTCAGCTCTATCACTGGGCAGTGTGATCTTTTAACTATTCTTCCCCAGCTTCTCCTCAATTGCCTTCTAGTGGACAAAACACATTTATTTATTACACTTGCACCCTGCTGAATCTGACAACAGAGTGCTCAGTTTAGAATAATGGCACCTTTAAGACGCAAAATATAAAACAAACAAATTAATAGCAACAAAACCTGAAGAAAATGAATGCATGTGTCCTCAAACTGGTAAACTGGCAGAATCAGCTGGTAAACTGGCGCAGCTTCCAAATTTTATTTTATTCTTTTGTTAGACGACTATCCTACCATCCATCCAAGAGCTCAGGGTGATGAAGACAGCAGTTCTGTTTTTCGGTACAAGAATGACTTTGGTGGGAGGGACTGGCCCAAAGTCATTCAGGGAGTTTTTACAGCTGATGTATCTTCATGGTGTTCCTACAACCCCTTAGCTATGAAATCACACAGGTTCTGTCAGCAGTATGGCATACTGGCTCTACATGCAGGATGGAGGATGGATGACATTTGGTTTTTAACTCCGATGGTACTCATGATAAAGGCCTGCATCCAGATAGACTGGATTCGGCTTTTCTAATCTGCAGTTGAAAATTATCAGAAATGCAAGGCACCAGATTATGGAAGATAAAAAAAAAATAGAGCACCCTTCCCTGGGGGACTAGAAAATTGCTGGGTCTAGAATGACCTTTATAATAATTATCAATTTCAGCCAGAGTTAATGGCTGTATTTTTCAATCTCATTTGATAATTTGATAATCTAGACCTTCTGTTATATATCAGTCCCCAAAGATTTGAAGCAAATGCAAAAAAACCTCCAGCCGATCTGACTTAAACTCAGTCAAAACCTGGACATGCTTGAGGACAATATTCTAGTATGATTGCCTTTCAGTCAAGCCTACCTTGGATTTTTCTTTTGTTTCTCTCTAACTTCTCCTAACACATTCATAGGGATCTCTTATCAAATAACTATATAATATGTAGGGAGAAATTCAATATTAAGATGCAAAAATAGCTCTGATGCCTACATTAGAGTTAACAATTTTTTATAATGTGAAAAAGTATATTCTGATACTGTTTTCCACTTCCCTCCATGCCAACATCAAAAATGACTTCACATTTTGTCCTATGGGATTAAAGGATCCTTGACAGATGGCTGTCTAACCTCTAACTGAAAATACCCAATAAAGGGGAGATTGTCTGGATAGGCAATTCTACCATCAAACTCCTCTCATTGTTAATTTCAACTATTATCTTTTTATATTATGCCAATAATGGGGATGATCGTTTTTGAGAAGAAAAACATTCAGGCTTTTTTCTACAACCCTAACCCTTTATCTGGGATGCGGTGGCTCAGATCAGGGGTGGGTTGCTGCCAGTTTTACTACCAGTTTTCAACCTGCACGCGTCAGGCGCTTGACGCACGCTGCACGCACATACACTTTTCAATGTAAGTTGTTCTTTGCACATGCACAGAACAATTTACAGTGAACTGCACATGTGCAGTCACTAAAATCCAAAATGGCAGTGACTCAGCCACGGTGATGGAACCAGTTAAGAGGCGTGGCAGGCCTGAGTCGTTGCCCGTTCTGAGACCCACGCCTGAATTCCACTACCAGTTCGGCCGAACTGGACCGAACCGCAAGCAACCCACCTCTGGCTTAGATGCTGAGCTTGTCGATTAGAAAGGTTGGTAGTTTGATGATTCGAATCCCTAGTGCCACGTAATAAGTGTGCTCCCATTACTTGTCCCAGTTTCTGCCAACCTCGCAGTTCAAAAGCACGTAAAAAATGCAAGTAGAAAAATAGAAACCACCTTTGGTGGGAAGGTAACAGTGTTCTGTGCGCCTTCGGCGTTGAGTCATGCCGGCCACATGACCATGGAGACATCTTCAGACAGTGCTGGCTCTTTGGCTTTGAAATGGAGATGAACACTGCCCCCTAGAATCGGGAACATTTACCTAACTCTTTATCTAAATCATCACTTTCTATTGTGATAGAAAGTGATGATTTAGATAAAGGATGAGGGTTGTAGGGGAAAAAACCAGAATGTTTTCCTTCTCCAAAATGATCATCACCATTATTACTGCCTTCAACTCCACTAGAGCTCATTTGCTCCTTGAAAACAGCCACTTCCCAACTTTGTACATATAGAAAGATATGGAACTTCTTCACTTTTTTTTTTTTTTTAAACTATGGTACAAAATTGCTCTTCTTGAAATCTCAGGAAGAAAAAAGTACCGAAGCTAGGGGCACTATGCAAAGTCATATCCCGAATTACTCTTGTGCCAAAACAGGACCACATCAAGAGGAACTGCGGGGCCACTTTCTTCAGGTAACCTGGTCTTTTTGCAGCTACCTGTCAATAAAAAGAAACAAGTGATCCAAAATGTGCTTATAAGGTATCATCCAAAGTGCATGTCAATATTTTGCATATGCTACATTCTTGTTAGAGAAATACAGGCTGTAATATGTTGGCTTGCAAGGTGGTCTCTAGATTAGAGATCTTTGTTAATAGAGAATAGCATGAACCTATTTAATTAAAATTGCAATTGTTGGCCAAAATATGTCAAATCTGATTGATACTGGCCTTAATATTAGTATGGAATGTTGCATTTGGCACAACAGTATAAGGCTGATAATCTAATCTATATCTTCTTTGTCATATGAAAGTCTTAGTTGATAAAACATGATAAGCAACAGAGGTCAATATATACAGGCCAATCTGAAGCTGATGATGGCATATGGAAGAGTGTGAAAGAAGTAAATGGTAAAGAAAATGAATTAAAACTTGAAAAGTCAGAAGGAAATACAGTAATGTTTTGTGAAACTAAGTAAAAAGTAAAAAGTGTCATAGAGGTGATTGAAACAGGGATGGGAAGCTGGGAGTTCGCAAGGTTTCACACTGGAGTATAAGACACACCAAGATTTTGAAGAGGCAATTTTTGTAAAAAAAGTTTTGCACTCTACAGACCTCCCAAAAACGGCCCATTTTTCATGAAAACGGCCCCGTTGTTTGCCAAAAAAAGCACATGAATAGCCTTTAGGAGGCTTGTAGCGTGCTNGAGCAAAAAACGGCCTGTTTTTTTCGTTCATTTTTGCCCTCTCCAGCCCCCAGGAGCACTCTGGAAGCCTCCTAAAGGCTATGCATGGCCATTTTTGGAAAGGGGGTGGGGTTTCGGGAGGCCAAAAATGCTGTATTCACTGTATAAGACACACCCAGATTTTCACCCTCTTTTTTGAGGGGGAAAGGTGTGTCTTATATTCAGAAAAATATGGTAACTTTTTATTGTCATATTTCAATTTTATTATTGTTCAAATCAGCTGTCTTCTATTTTTTTGCTATTTTGGGATTCCCCTGATAGATTTGTACAGTGAAAGCAGTACTCCAGCAATCCCAAGTGATACCAGATAATTTAGGCAAAGCCCATGAACCCAGATAAGCTCTAGCCAAGGTAGGCCACCTTAGAGCTTCCAAATCGGTGCTGAGTCAATATGCTCTTTCTCTGTTCTCCCATATAGTTGCAAGCAATCAATCACTTACAACTTAAATCTGTGTTGCAAAAGTTTACTGTAATTATTGTGACCCACAGCAAGTAGATCTGGTAAGCAAGTCTTGAAATCCAAACCATCAAGCACTGAAAACAAACAAACCATTTGCTTATACAAAAATATATTGGTTACATTGCTCAACTCCTTTGCTAAGAAGTTGCTGAAATTGGTTGAATAAATAATAGGTGTGCCATTGTTTTCAACCCATAACATTTAAAAATAAAAATATTATTTTCCGATAAAGTTCTTATCAAAAAAATTAATATGTTAGAACAGAGGGTATGGTAAGGAAAAAGGACTATAAACTTGTTTCATTGTTATAGAACAGTTACAGTTATCATATCAAAGATATATGGGTATGAAAACAACCCCAAGTCATGTAGAGCTTCAGAAAGAAACATACCGTAACACATGATAATATTGTTATTTCAAATAAAAAAGAGTTTACTACAAACACCTCACTCCCCTTCCTGCTACCAGATGACTCTGAGCTACTGTTCCTTTCCAGTTGTGGCTGGAGACAGCTGAAGTTTATTGGTAGAAATCATAATTTGCATGCAAAACATCTCCATCGGTGGTGGGTTTCTACCAGTTTGCACTAGTTCTCCCAAACCGGTAGCTCTGCCGTCAAGCAGAGAGAGAACTGGTTCTTTGTTGCTTTGAAAGTGGGCCTGCCCGCCTGTCCCTGGGTTATATCTAGCTTTATTTCAGCTTCTGAAGCCCAGCTGATCAGGAGCTGCAGATTAAATTGCTGCTCCTCAGCTTTTTTCCTTGCTTTTTGAGCAAGTTTCTTTCAACTGCACACACACACGCTCAGTGTACCAGTAAGAACACCGGTAGGAACCCACCACTGGTCTCCATCATCTCCTGACTGAGAAAGATCTATTTGAAAGACCAAGGAGCTGCTGATTGTCAAAATAGACAGCACTTAAGTGATTGGACCAGTGATCTGCCTCAATATGTTAAGCTTCCTATACACCTGTACCAATGCTTTGGCCAATGAGTGATTGACATCACCAACCCATTGTCTCCCGAGCTGAAGGAGGGGGTGGTGGAAATCCTCAAGTCTGGAAATTGCTTCAAGAAGTTGCCTTCAGCTCAAGTTCTTAGATTAAAAATTAACCAGTACTGGATTTAGAGCTCCACATGTGGAGGTTTTATGAGGTCTTACAAACCATGTGATTAGCTTCTTTCATCCTTTGCGTGTTTTACTGACCTTCACAACACATCTATCCACCATGGAATCTAGCCATTCGATGTATGATTCAATGGGTGACTGGTCTTCCAAAAGGTGATCAAATTCCTGATATACTGGCAAAATAAAACCCAAGGAATCCAAATCATTAATGGTGTTGTCTCTTAGATGACAAATGAAAGCAAATGTAGAATGAATAAAAATTGCTTAGCTAAATTGAACAACAGAACATTAATGCTATATTTAAGAAGAAAAAAGCTAAATTGTTTCTCATGACTATTCCTATTTATTTATTTAAAAGATTTATACAGTTGCCCAGTTTATAACCACTCTGGTTATATAAAGTCCTTCTTCCCTATAATCAGTAGTTTTGCATGATTTTTTGCTACATTTCCCAGTATTGTTTATCTATAAGGAGAAGTCAGACTCCATTCTGAGAATCATTCTTCCACAGCTAATTCAAGACTCTGACCCTTCAGACAGAAAAGGTCATGCATGAAATTCATTTAGAAATGCATCAAGAGGCTATTTAAATCCAGGATAGGCAACACCTTCCCATCAGGAAACATTCTATAGAAATGCAGTAACAGTTGCAATACTTTAAAAAAATTGTGATTTCAAGAGTGGTATGAGAAGTTTAGATATTATTTGAGCACAGGGGTTGTCTTCAAGGACATATGAGGAAAATAAGCACTAAGTATGGTTTGTGGTATTTTTACTTTTATAAATATTGTATTTTTTTTGCAACTGTCCAAATTATCTTATGATACACGTAAATGGCATCCTTTTCAAAACATGGCATTATTAAGTTGCAACCCAAACATTCTTACCATAAACAAATGTAGATATTTTGAATTATGCATGAATAAAATGAACAAAAGCTGTCTGATCTCTAGATAAACATGACTGCTGTGTTTCGTAACTATCAGAAAGCTTTACAAACACATTAAAAATCATGGGACTATAAAAATATGGTTGGATGAGGTCAAAGGTTTATATGGACTGTAATTCTATGTAGACTGTAATGGCCAATGAGATACATGTTGAAAGCTCATAAATAGAACATCATGGTGAGAACTCCCTTCCACAGTTGCTTCCTGCTAATTGTACTTGCTACTGAAATACTGTAGGCATTGGTCATTCATTGACCAGATTATTTGCAGGATTACCTCTCCCTAAGGATTCCTAACCTGTTTTACCAGATTGGATAAGTGGGTACATTTCTAGTTCCCTCCCTTAAATATTGCTATCCTTATAGGACCTTGTGCCTTCTCCATGTCAGTCCCTGCTGTTTGGAAGACCCTTCCTTCTGAGGCTTGGCAGGCCCCCACCCTTTTAACTTTCCAAAAATCACTTAAGATCTGAGTGAGATTATGAGATGTACTTGAAAAAGCTATGGTGGTGCAGTGGTTAGAATGCAGTATTGCAGGCTAGTTCTGTCCACTGCCAGGAGTTCAATTCTGACAGGCTCAGGTAGACTCAGCCTTCCATCCTTCCGATGTTCTTATTTAATATTTTAAAAACATCCCGTAAGGTTTCTGAAAATAATTCTTTACTGTATTGCATATCAGTGAAATATTCACTTGTCGCAACCACAGTCCTATACTCGATCCTTACTAGTTAAAAATTCATTAGATGTTTTTTCACTCTGAAAACTGAGATGAAATAGTATCCAGCAAGCATCCTTCCTTGGAACAGAAGCATCCTGAACCATTCAGGAAAATGTCCAGCCTTGCTATCAAGTGCAGGTTTCTTCAAAGATAATTATCCATATAAGGAACCTCCAGTCCAAGTCTCTGCGTACTTGGAAAGCACCTAATCTGCACAGCTTTTAATTGGGCATACATTCAAATATACTGTTCCTTGAAAGAATGTTTGAAAGATGAAATCATTTCTTAAAGTGCAGCTAGAGTGTAGTCATGAAAAAAGGTTTGCTAAAAAGGAATTGTAAAGTGGTAATTGGAGGAAACAGGTTTTGGGATGTTATAAGTAAGAAATGCTAACGTTCATGTCAGCCACTCTCCTGTCATATTAAGGAAATGTGAATCTAGGTACCATTTAGTTTTACAAATACATCTAAAGAGGCAGAAATGTCATGGGGAATTCAGAATAGCAACTTTATGCATGCTTATTATTAACAATGTTATAGGATTTGCTTTTAGTAAATATACCCAAATTGCATAATAAAACCCTTGTGTGGAAGTGCCCTCCCCTCTCTACTTTGCACTGTGATAGCTAAGTTGCTGGAGAGCAAAGAGAAATTTAACAGAAAGCAGAGAAAATGTTATGGAACCAATATTTCTCCCATGTCATCTGTGCTATCATCACATTCAGAGGAGGTGTGGTTGTGTGTGTGGGGGGTCAGAATCTTTTATCATCTGAACTGATTTTGGAAACAACAATACTGGTACATTCTGTTTTGTTAACATTTGGAATTAATTTCTCTTAGTCAAAAGTCCTATAGTCTTACATTGTATTATAAGTTTCCTGTGCTCCTCTTGCGAATCTTCCATGGTGTACAGTGTTTGTTTAGTGATACTGTTAAGATCCACATTCCTCCAATCTTCCAGCATTTGGAATGTAATGTCTGCACTGTGGATCACAGTTCTTGAAGCCTATAATCCAATTTAAACAACTCATTAGCTTAGAGTTTATTACCTTAGATAATATCACATTATCCCTTTATACGGTTTTGTGGTAGGGTTCTGCTAATGTGATTTTTCTCCTTGGGTTCTGGAAAAGTCATGGAGTGCAGGAGGTAATTTGAATATAACTTTTCCCAGTCCAAATTAGAGATGTGGAAGTTCTAAATTTAAGGTAATACTATACTTCTGCTTCTTTTCATTTGAGGAAAAAGGCATGTTTGTCATTTGGAGAATAATCAGTTTCTTCATTATGTCCCTTAAATTCAGACTATTTGTACCTTGACGTTCACTTTTGAAATGATCACAATGATTTAAATAGTACATTAATTCACAATTTCAAAATAATTGAAACAATAACTGAAATCCTCACACATCTATAATAAGTACAGTACCTGAAGAATATGTTCAATATTGGAACTAGGCTCTATTTCAGAGCAGGTCAAATACTAATAGATCTGAATGAACTTCTGTTAACATTTTGAGCAGTAACTGGTCACAAGTACATAGAAAGGGAGGTGGGGGTAGAACATTACAGAGTGTTTATAACTTAAATCTGAGATGGGACCTTCATGCATAACAATGGACTTACTCAGTAGAACTGCCCATATTTCCATTCAATCCATGCAAATGCTATTTACTTAGCTTTAAGTTAGTAAGGGAGGTGGATCTATGACAATGGCCATCTTGCCATGGCCAACTCGCCCCAGCCAACTTTCTTCGGCCAACTTGGCAGAACAAGACTTACACTAATATCAAAGAAATGGTGAAATAGAATCATTAAAGAAAGGATGCAAAAGGAGGGACAAAATGAAATGTGAATGACAAAAATTAAAATATTTTTTTATTTTAAATAATTAAATTGAAATGTTTCTTTGTGAGTTGTTCTGTGGCAAGTTGTCAGTGGTGTGTTGGCCATGTCAAGTTGGCTGAGGCAAGTTGGCCCATTCCGACGGAAAGCTGAGGGGAACTTCATTGCAACTATCTACATTGCTTTTGCTACTGCTACTAAAGATTTCAATGTAGTAGTGAATTAGAGGCTATTCAAAATACTGGAGCAAGACAGTTTTGCTCAAAGTGTTTATAAACTGCTTACATCTCTATTTGGTCATAAACGGTACACAAATAATTGATGAGATGGGGTAAAACTGGGACAGTAAGATAATGTAAATATTATTTTCAACGTGTTTCCTTTACAATTTACTGTAACTCTCCAGTTAGATAACAGCAAGGAAAGAGGTCTATAAAATGAGAAAATATCAGAAGCAATATTACAGATGTAATCAAAATGCTATTTAGTTTGGCATTCTGGATCTCCCAGAGGTCAGTCAGATAATTTTTAGGATTCAATGAATGGATATAAGGGTATAAATCCTATTTTACATTTGCTTCCTAGCAGCTATTATTTGAGGCCTGCTCTCTGGGGTTCTAGAATTTGCATTGAGAGATTAGTCATCATGAATAGGCGATTCTTCCCAGAATATGGAAAATAATTTAAGTCAACAACTAGCAAGCAGGTATGGCTTTTCTGCTTCATTTAACTCTGAATGCTTTTTTCATATCAGTAAACAAATCCCATGTAAAAGTTGTGATTTCACAAATGCATGTAAAGACTTTATCTGAGAACTAACATATGTGTGCTTGCTGAGGAACGAAATAAACTTATGACAAAAAAGAGGATAAAATACCTGACATAGATGGTTTAACGATGTCTGCCTCCGAAGAATCTGAGAAAATCTTCTGGATACTGACAATGAGATCATTTATGTAGTTAGCTAGAATGATTACTTTGGCACCAAACAATACATCCTATATCTTCATTCAGTTCTGCTAACAGCGTATCTTTAACTGATTTTGTTTTGTAAGAACTTTTTCTTTCAACAATATTTATATCATTAGATATGTTTGTTATGGGAATATGCATATTTTAGCCATTTTAAAAAAATAATGTTTGGGATAGAAATCATTATCCAATAAAATCAATGACCTTAAATCCCATTGAAAGTTATCTATTTATGATCAAATTAAAGTAAAATGATCCTTAGTTCTGTGCTTCTGCAAAAAGTTCCATGTGTGCTGATATGCTAGTTCTCATGACCAGAAGATCTCTAATAGGGTCATTCCCTAGAAGTGTCAAAGGTAACCTTAGATTCATAGTATCCAAAGCCTTCTCATTTCTGAAACAATTCTACCCTAGATCTTCAGATTCCATCTGAATGAAACTGGATTAGTAATTCCACTTTCCATTTCAACAAAAAGTGAAGTGATCCTCCACCATAGAAACTCATCCTCTCGTTGTTAGGACTGTGCTATTGATACCAAATGAACTAAGATTCTCTGGTTTATGATTAGTGACTGCAGTACACAAATGAGGATTAAATGTACTGTATGTTATGAGCCACAGTGGTGCAGTGCTTAGAGTGCACTACTGCAAGCTAGTTCTGCTGAATGCTGGCCTGCAATTTGGCAGTTCAAATCTCACCAGGCACAAGATCGATTCAGCCTTCCATCCTTCCGAGGTAGGTAAATTGAGGACCCAAATTGTTGGGGGCAATATGCTGACTGTGTAAACCACTTAGAGAGGGCTGTAAAGCACTGTAAAGTGGTATATAAGTCTAAGTCTTATTGCTATTGCTATTATGTAAGCATATTGATAAGGCCATGTACAGAATGAAATCCATGATATCTATCAATCTCTTTATCTATTGGTCAACAGTATGACATTTTATATCCATATTTTCTTGGATAAATCCTAATATTGTAGATATACTGAGGTACTCAACTTTTTATCACAGGTAAATAAATAGTATGCTGAAATCTATTGCATTGCTTGTAGGTACATTCAGATGCCAGAGATGTTCAAATACTACATGACTTCACTAAAGTGAAGAGAATCCACACTGATCTCTCCAGTTGCAACTCTGCTTTGCTAAGATCAATTCCAAAACATATACTAAAACATATTCATTTTGAGGAAAGGAACATGCCTTGGGTTATTTGAATAAATTATTAAATTACAAAATCATGTTGTTGAATGAGCCATTTTCAGAGTCTCCTCAACAAAGGTGCTTTTAATCATTCATACTGATCAGTGACTAATCCATCTCCTAAATGATATTTTCCCCTCCCTTTTTCAACTTCGCTCACATTTTCTGTCTTAAAAAAAACTTGTGATGTGGAAGTTAGCAGGTATAAAAGGAGCAGGATTGATGAAATAAAGCAGGCTTTCCCAAGATATAATGTTCAAGGCAGGCATCTACAGAGTGTAGTGCCCTTCCTATGGAGGTGGTATTATTTGATCATCTCCATTTTTTATACTTTGACACCTGAGGCAAAGGCCTTGGACTCTAGTTAGAAGAGGCACTTGATTGCTTGCATTTGAGAGGATTTTTAATTTAGTCCACAAAGACAGGAGACTTATTAATTTATTGTAACTGATCTGACTTCATCACTATGACCAGTCAGAGATATACACTCCAGAGGTGGCTTTCAGCAGGTTCTGACCAGTTCTGGAAAACCAGTAGCAAAAATTTTGAGTAATTCGGAGAACCAGTAAATATCATCTCTAACTGGCCCCATCCCCATCTATTCTCTGCCTCCCGAGTCCCAGCTGATCGGGAGGGAATGGGGATTTTTCAGTAACCTTCCCCTGCCATGCCCACCAAGCCACGCCCACCAAGCCATGTCATACCCACCAAGCCACGCCCACAGAACCGATAATAAAAAAATTTGAATCCCACCACTGATACACTCATATTACTGAAAGAATTGATAAAATGAATTAGAGATTATTAGAGATTGATAAATTAGAGATGCAATGATATTGTTCTTTTAAACCATGTCAGAGACATAAGACACAGAGCAAGTGTTAACCATTTTTTCAGGCATGTATGTAATTTTGCATACTGAGACTTTTAAAAAATCATCAAAGTATCTCATAAAAGTCCTAAACATTTTTGGCCATATCATGCCTAAGGTCATGTGAGATTTGTGGCATTTTTACATTTTGGAAGATTGCCAAAGCTTTTTTTTTTTTTTTGGTTTAATATATATTCTTTTGACATCAAAAGACACAGTGTTGCCTACTCCTTACATAAAATTAAAGAATGCCTTCAAGTTTATTCTAAATATTTATTTTCAAAATTTGAATAGCTTTTTTACATAAAATCTAATAATTATTCCAATCTTTCTTCATTTCAGCATCCTGATTTTGGAAGAATAAATTTAATTTTATAGATTAAAAAAATAGGATTGGGCCACCCTTAAATCTACTGATAGATCCTGCGCTATCTTCCACGTGTTCTTGAGGTAGGTGTATAAGAACTTAATCACAGCACAGAATATATGTGTCCTTTCTGGTTTTTTAAAAAATTACTCATAGAACATAGAGTGGACTGATTTGATTAAGAATATTGCTTTACCACATATGTAGTGGGAATTGAATTCTTTATCTGGCCATTTTTTAAAAAAAAAAATCCTTTGCATTTTTTTTAAAAAAATCCTTTGCATTTTTTTTTAAAAAAATCCTTTGCATTTTTTAAAAAAAGTTCTACTGGTGCCAGGA